GAGTTCAAAGCCAGTCTCAGCAAGGCGAGGAGCTAAGTAACTCAGTGAGACCCTATCTCTAAAACAGGGCTGGGGATGTGGCTCAGCAGTTGAGTGCCCTCGAGTTCAATCCCTCAATCTCCAATAACCATCACTCTCCAAGCCAAAAAAAAAAAAAAAAAATATATATATATATATAAAATTACATTATCTATCTATCTATCTCTCTCTATATATATCTATATCTATATCTATATCTATATCTATATATATATATATATATATATATATATATATCCCCCCTAGGAAACTCAAGGGGCTAAGGAAGGAGGATCCCAAGTTTGAGGTCATCCTTAGACCCTGTCTCAAAATGAAAAATTAAAAAGGGATTTGGGATTGTAGCTCAATGCCCCCTAAATTCAATCCCCAGAATTGAAAAAAACAAAACAAAAACAAACAAACAAACCAAAAAACCAACTCACTCTGACCATAAATTTCCACTATTCCCATTCATTATAAATCCTCTCATTTCATATTTTCATGTTCAACGTCATTTAGATTTTTCAGTTATAGGAATATAAAATTTTCTCTCAATCTGTTGACAAAACTACACTTCAATACCTTAAATCTAGCCTAGAAAACATGACCATCATATTTTTATATTTTATTTTATTGGTTATTTTTAGTTATTCATGACAGTAGAATCCATTTTGATACAATTATACAAGCAGGGAATATATCGAATTCTAATTAGAACCCAATACCTCTCCTTCCCCTTCTCTTTCACTACCCCCTGTTCCCTTCCTCTAATGATCTCTCTGCCATTTACCCATAATTATTTTTTAAATTTTTTTCAAAATTAATTTTTTGTGGATGTACATGATGGTGGGAGTCACTGTGCCATACTGATAAATGTACTTAGGAAAGTTACATTAGATTCATTCCACTGTCTTTCTTTTTCTTATATCCCTCCTTTCCCTTCATTCCCTTTTGTCTAATCCACTGAACTTCTATTCTTCCTTCAAACCCCATTATTGCAGGTTAGCTTCCATTTTAGTAGTGTCTGTGGTAATATTTAATAATGTGAGTTTCTCCCTCTTTCTCTTGGTTAGTCTGGCTAAAGGTATATTAATTTTGTTTATGCTTTCAAAAAACTAACTTTTTGCATTGCATCTTTTGTATTATTTCTTTAATTTCAATTTCTATGATTTATCAGCGTTTGCTAATCCTCTGCATTTTCCTACAGCCACATCTTGACCCTGGTGAGAGCCGCAATTTCCCTCTACTACTCTCTCCTCAACTGCCATAAGCTCCACCTCAGGAGAAGCCTGCCWTGGTTCCTGACMGGATCACCTCGGTCTGAGTGAGCKTGCATCTGCTGGACTTAAAGCCTAAGGCTTGAGACTTTTGATCTGATACTTGAACTTGCAAAGGGAACATCTGTCATTAGTTTGTCATGATTAAGTGTGTTTGCAGTGCTTAGAATTAATCTAGAATTGTTTGCTGTGAAATGATTGTCTATTTCAGTGCCTAGCATTAAGAATTGTCATTTTTAGTTGCTCTCATTATATCAAAGAAGACATTTGGTATTTGTTTTTTAGGGATTGGCTAGCTTYACTAAGCATAATCTGCTTTAGTGCCATCCATTTCCCTGCAAATTCCATGATTTTGTCATTTTTTAGTGCYGCGTAATACTCCATAGTGTATAAATGCCACATTTAATCCATTCATCCATTGGAGGGCATCTGGGTTGGTTCCACAGTCTAGCTATTGTGAATTGTGCTGCTRTGAACATCGATGTGGCAGTATCCCTGTAGTACGCTCTTTTAGCACGAGATGGGAGGGAAAGAGAGAGAAAAGGGGAATTGCATGGAAATGGAAAGAGACCCTCATTGTTATTAAAAAACTACATAAAAGAGGTTGTGAGGGGAATTGGAAGAAAAAACAAGGAGAGAAATGAATTACAGTAGATGGGATAGAAAGAGAAGATGGGGGAGAGGGGGATAGTAGAGGATAGGAAAGGTAGCAGAATACAACAGTTACTAGTATGGCATTATGTAAAAATGTGAATGTGTAACCGATGTGATTCTGCAATCTGTATTTGGGGTAAAAATGGGAGTTCATAACTCACTTGAAACTAATGTTTGAAATATGATATGTCAAGAGCTTTGTAAGGTTTTGAACAACCAATAAAAAAAAAAAAAGAATTGTCATTTTCTTGATTAAGAACCTATGGAGTGAAATTGCATTTGGTGATTTGAGTGAATAAAGCATTGACTAGGACAGAAGTGCGTGRACATTCTTTGTTTCTCCCCCTGGACTGCATAAGTCGCACCTTTTGCCCATCTCAACAATGAGGCATCTTTCATGTACCAGTATGATGTGCAGTATAGTCTCTGGATCAGCCTAGGGCAGACTGCCCCTCAGATCTCAGGATTTTCCACACTAAGTCTATCCTTTGTATTTCTCAGCACTTTCCCTCCTTCTGTGCTAATGCTACTGCTACTGCTAGTAGATTGGCTCCAATTTTGTCTTTCTTCTTGKTTTAATGTACCCCAAATTTCTAAGTCTAAGGCACTCAGACTGCTCATTATTGAGTTTTAGTGAACTCCCTTTTTTCACCCACCTGGCAGAGAAGCAGTATTCCTGCTGCTTGAATCCCGGGTCATGGAGCAATAATAAATACAGCTTTCTTCTAGTCTGCCTTCTTGTGGCCCCAGACCCATCATTTTTATCCTTTTGTCATCCCCACTGAAGCTTTTTATTTCTCGTCCTCAGTCCCTTACCTCCTTGCTCTTTATCAGACATTGTCTTCTCTACTGTTATCCCAGGTTACTATGTGCTTCCAGATCAAACTCACTCAACAATTCAGACTGTAGTTGCTATGATTTCAGCATCTCTAACCTGATTTAGTTCTTCAGAATTTTCCTTTAACATTTCAATATTTTGTCACTTAGCTCCCTCTGAATATCAACTAGACCATGAAAAAATGGAGAGACATTCCATATTTCTTAAAGTATGCTATCATTGTAACAAGGTTAATTATTCTGAAATTAATAAATCAATATATTTAAAATAAGATTCTCAACATTTATATTTAGATTAAATGATTGTTAAAGTTTGTATGGAAGAGCAGGTGTGTGAGAATTGAAAATAACCCCTATTAGTTATTAAAATTTACTGCAAAACTACTATAAAAAGAATCTGATATTGGCATCAAAACAGATAAGTACATTAATAGAATGAAATAGGCAGTACACAAATATATTCATATATGTATTTAACATAAAGACGGTATTGTCATTAAAAACATTAAATTAAGAAAGACTACTTAGAAAATTGACTAGCTAATTATAATAAATCAGATTATTTAACTACCAATACTATAAAAATAAATTCAGTGTATTAAAGAACTTTCAAAAATCTTATTAAAATTTTAGGATAACACATGGCAATATTACTTGAATAAATGCAGAATTGGTAAACCTTAAGTAGAAAAAACATTTAAAAAATCAGAAATAGTACTGATGTGTATTATTTTATAAATCTAAAATCTGATGCTACAACATTTAACATTATAAAATGTTACAGTTCTAATTCAGTAAAATTATATTTTGATATTTAAAYGGTGTTAAAAATAGCTCGAGGGCTATTTAGAGTGGTATATTACATAAACCATCAATCAGAATTTCTTTTTTAATTTCAGCCTTATTTTTTTAGCTGACACAGCTCTTACGTGTGGTTTCCCTACTGAGCTGGAGGAAATACATTGATTAATATGATAATCCTATAATTAAAATTTAGAAATTTTGTCTAAAAATATGGTAGACTCTCACTCCAGAAAATTTGAAAAACATTATTTTAATGCCTCCAAAATTATTTCCTTTGGTACATTCTTTGTATGTGAATAGCGTTAAGAAGTCTCACTAAAACTCTGAAATGAAAGCCATACTATATTTAGTTTGAAATGTGTTTCAACATTTGGTTAAGGTAATAAAACAAATGTACTTCACTAAATTAAAACTTAAATGTATTCTATCTTTTATTTTTAGTTTTACTGTTAAATTATGTATATATATTTAAGTTATATATACACCATAAAAATATGCGCGCGCCCACACACACACACACACACACACACACACACTTTATGTCCCCCTCATTTACTTGATTCTAATATGCTTTCTTGAGAGTAAATTAAATATGTAGAGTCCAGACAATGTAGTTAGAACTGCTCATTCTATGATACAAGAAAGAGGTGTGGAGCCACTAGAAGAAACAGAACATACAGGCCACAGCTGGAGTAAATATTCAGATTTTATGCTGATTTGCTTACTAATACTTATTAARGAGTAAGATTTTGTGCTTTCTGCTAGGGATACAACAAGAAAATCAAGATTTCCTTTTTTATGAAGTTTGTATTGATATCACTGATATGAACTAATTACCAACTAGTTATTTAATTGTGGCTATAGTAAGTACTAAGGAAGAAATAACTGATCTAGTCTCTAAAGTTAGAGAAGGTATTTGGAGAATACAAGGATCAAACAAGATCTCTGTTGGAGTCAGGGCAGGATCAGTGAAATGGGGCAAGGAAGTAGTATCTGGAGAGCAGAATACTGTTCCTATAAGAGAGGTTCTGAGGTAGGAAGTAAATGGACCAAGAGAAAGTCAGCAAGGCTGCAGCCCCAGGAGGTGGGCTAATGGTGAGGGATGACACAGGTGAGGTGGGCAGAGTGCCTTATAGGATGTCCTAAATAATCTAGAATTTTTTCCTATGGGAAACAACCAAAGGGTTTTTATTTTATTTATTTAGTTATTTATTCTGGTAAATCAGGAAAATTTTAGAGTCAGATTTATATTTTTAACTTTTCCATTGTACAAATTTAAACGTCCCCTTTCAGTAAGTTTTCTTATGAAAACTACTCTTTCAAAATAATTACACATGAAAAGTTTCCCCATCTCCACTCCAAATTCAATTCTCTAACGACACTAGTATCTTGAGAGATACCATTTCATACCCTGTTTCTTCTGGAAAYGCAGAAACGGTGCTTCCATCACTTTGACAAGGGTCCTGAGGAGGAGAGTCAGAATCTTTTCTATCTGGGTTTGTAGCGGTATTGGCCACTCGTTGTTGCAAGTCCCACTTTCGAGCTACGTTGTTAATTGTTAACCTTTTCTTCTCCTATTAAAAAAAGTTAATTGTGACAAGAATTAAATAATATAAATTTTTAAGAAGAGAATCCAAGGAGCATATTGTTGCACCTTCTTACAACACTTTTGAAGTCAACTATTCCTTAAACATAGTTACCCAATACACATTCTAAAACAAAGTTCAAGACACCTATATTTATCTTATATTTTCAAATATATTAATAATAGTCTATCATCCTCAAGAAAAAAACTACATACAAAATATAATTAGTATGTAGGAACTGAATTTTATTAAAAATAAACATATAACCACTGGACAGTGAAAATTTACTATCTGAAATTTTGATTTGACAAAAATGTATATGCCTCTGTCTTTAAACATAGCAAGAAAGACTAATAAGCATTAAAGTTTTCCTACCCAATAATTAGGACAAATATGGTGGAATAATCTTTGTGTGTGTGGGGGGGGAGGGGGTTGATCAGTGTTCCAAGTTTCACAGTATAAACTGTTGTGTCTGAAAATGAAAAAGAAATTTGCTAGGCTGAAATTCTTCTAGACATCTAGTACCATTCTAGAAGATAAGGAAAGAAATTAATTCATTATATGCAATAGATGCTTTACAATAGTGTTTCTTAAACTTTAGAGTGCCTCAAATCACCTAAAGGGCTTTACAATCAGATTGCTGAATCTCACCCCACTCTGATTCAGTGTCTCTGGACTAGGACCTGTGAGTCTGTGTGTCTAACATGCTTCCACTTCATGCTAAGTTTCTAGTTCACAGACCCCATTTTTAGAACAACTGCCTTGAGACATTAGAGATCAATTTTCTCATAGAAACCCTGTTGAGAAAAGCAGTTCTAAGTTACTGAAGGAAATTATGATAGATTATAATGTTTTAATTCTATTTATGTTGTCTGTATTAACTGGAATAAAGAATTCTTATTCTAGTTATTTTTTTTACTACCAAATGTTATCATTTTAAAATGGTTTATCAATTAGATCAGAATGCCAAAAATAGATATTTTCTCTTTCCTCTTTCCTAAGAAWATAACCGTCCAATGAAAAGTCAGCTGAATGTGATACTGATTGTTCTTCTTCACCTGTTAGAAAGAATCTCTGCCCATTTCCTCAGTGCCTATATACATATAGAATAATTATTTTTAGTTATGCCTCTTTATATTTCTTTAAGATTCTAGTGTGTGTGTGTGTGTGTGTGTGTGTGTGTGTGTGTGTGTGATTTTGTAGGAATGAAAAGTGATGTGGCTGGCTTAATTAAAAATTAAAAATTGAGGGCTAGAACCTAGGTCTACTGATTCCTCATGCTTCTCCTACTATTAAAAGAGCTAACTAATCTTTATAATTAATTAAACATTTAAAATTTCTGTTTCTCTATTTAAAAATGTTTTAGGCATGGGTTCTTTTTTCTATTATTTGAAATTTCAAATTTGTATAGTTAATGGATAACACTTATTATGTATACAATTTTGAAATATCTTGATATTTTTTAAATGTCCTCCTTATGTAAAGCAAGTAGGATTCTGCTATTCTACTGGAAAAACAATATCTTCCTAATCTGTAATAAAAAGGCATCTTACCTAAAGGAATACTATTTTAGTTATTTACTGATGACTGTGCCAACTCAATTCTTAATCTAAGCAATGCTGTTATTTTTACTCAGTACCAAGGTCACTGGACCCATGCATTTGGCTTTCTGTATGACAGGGGTTGGCAGAGAATAATATACTTACTGAGGTTTAGACAACAGAGCTTAGAAAAAAGGCACTGAAATAACTTTACACTATTGGATATGTTAACAAATTTGTAACAAGATAGTCTCTGAAAATGCAAACATTTTCTTATACCCATAAAAGTTAAGCTTCCTTTACTTGGGCTATTAAAATCAAATCAATACYAGGTAGACTAAGAGAATGGATAATTTTATTGGGGCCAGAAAAAAAGGAATGTAGGACAGAAGTATATCCTGAGATCAGGCAGGGTTCACTGTCTGGCCAGGAAGCCACAAGAGGGCTCTAGATATATACGGAGCAAGGAAAAAAAAAAAAAAAAAAAAGCTAGATAATGCTATAGATTCTCCGAGGCAAAAGGTGGCAACCAAAGCATAGTTTATTTTCAAAGATCTCTGAAGCATTGGGCATATTAGCTATAATTATGTTTGTAATTGCTAGATTTTGGTAATTGCTAGATTGTTATCAATTGCTAAGTCTATGTTAAAGTGATAAATATTTTAGAAGGTGCCAAATTCAACTTCTTCCATTTGAGTCTATTTACAGTCCAGATAAGACCACACTGGTATATGCCATAAATACCATTTATCTTCATTTCCAAGGATATAATAATAGAAAGAAAAGAAACAAGGCAGAAGATGTAGGTCTATATAATCTTTTCCTACTCAACCCATCCCATTTTCTTAATGATCAATATATAGTATTACATGAAAATAATCCTTAGAAAAGGCTAAATATCTGTTTTATCATGACTCCAATTCTGAATGAGGGCTAGAACCCAGATCTACTGATTCCTCATGCTTCTCCTATTATTAAAAGAGCTAATTAATCTTCATAACTAAAGAGTTCTACTTAGTGACTTTTAAGAGAAACATCAGCTATTTTCCAAAGTTTTCATTAAAACCTTCCAAATATTCTTTTAAATGTTTGCTTAAAATTTAATGGCACATTTTCCCACATGCTGGTGGTAAGATGCAGCTGAATTGGGTACATAACAAATTTTTTTTTCAGTTGAAAGGTGAAATCAAGTATGATTTCTGAAACTGGAAGCTCTACTAAAACTGGAAGCCTTATAGTTAAATAATCAATAGAATTTCTTTGTTCATTCTTCCTTTCCATACTCTAGAGCTCATACAAGAGTGTTCTGTATTTTATGTATGATGTATTTTCTTCATTAATTCATCTATGTACTTTTTCACTTATGTATCTGGCAGAAGCAATTGCATGACAGGGAACACTACTTTTTCTAAATGAACATGGCAATGAGAAATCTCGCTCTTATAGATTTTTAAAAATACTGTCTATGGCTTTATTTCCTATAAACTAGGGTATTTGGGGCAAACTCTTGGGAATATGCCAATATATGAAAGAATAAGTTTCATTGGCTGAATCAGTAAAAAGGCAGAAACATGTACCAAAACTCATTAGGCACTGGGTTCAATCTTCAGCACCATATAAAAATAAACAAACAAAATAAAGGTATACATACATGGAGTACAACTTATTAAAGAAAAAAATTAAATATATATACAGTAAGCCAGTCATGGCAGTACATGGCTGTAATCTCAGAGACTCAGGAAGCTGAGGCAGGAAGATTGCAAGTTCAAGGCCAGCCTCAGCAACTTAGTGAGGTCCCAAGCAACTTAGAGAGACCCTGTCTCAAAAAATAAAAAGGGCTAGGATGTGTCTCAGTGGTAAAGTGCTTCTGGATTAAGTCCCAATTACTAATAAATAAATAAATAAATAAATGTGTGTGTGTGTGTGTGTGTTGTGTGTGTGTATCAGTAACATTTATCAGTGAAGATGACAGTCTATTACAGTGCCATTCAAGGTGAATTGCACATGCCATGGATGGATACACAAGGTAATGCACTGATATAAAAACAAATACTACAAATTCTATTATATTTATTTTCATCTCTCAAGTTCCAGCTTTTGCATTTGTTTTATAATGTTTATTATATTACATTTCCTAAGTACAAGTTTATTTATAGATAGTAACTTATAAAAGTTATAGGAGTGTTTAGTAATGCAAAATTTAAAGTTTAGAAACCAATATTCCAATAGATTAGCTAGCTAGCTTCAGTGTACACACTCATGGATTCAGGCAGCGGAAAAAATACCTTAAGCAAAGACTGTTTATGACTTTCCCGCTTCTTCTCTTCCTCCTTCTTGGCTACTACAGATGCCATACGCCTTTCTTCTTCCTAAAAAAAAAAAAAAGTTTTGCCAAAAATATTATGATGTATGTAACCATTTTTTAATGCTAAATATCTTTGGTCTTGAAAGTCTTGAGTTTTCTTCTTAAGGAGTATATTACTTGCTAACAGGAAATATGCCCTCAAAGAAAAAGTCAGTATGTCTTTCTTTTCTTCTTTCCTCCTAAGTCTTAAAAAAAAATTCTTCTTAAAAAATTATTTATTTATGTATGCTAAAAACACAACATTCTTAACTCTACTTCAAACTCTGCAGTCAAGATGAACCTAGGTAATTAATATAAACAAACAAAAAAGTAAAGAAAGGGGGAGAACTTTTCTTTGTATAAGTTTTCTTTGAAATTTTGTCAGTCATACCTCAATAAAGTTGGAAAAAATAAAGACTATATTACTGTTCAGTTCACAAAATTTTTTTAAAAAACCAGTCATAACTTCAATACTCTCACAATTTCTATGTATAGCTTTTATTTTTTTACAATGAGTACATTTTGTAAAGTTGTAACCTAGTTATACAGATTTACCTTTTCCCCCTGAAGAATGTCAAATTTTAATAAGTTACAACCACTTAACTTTTTACTTTTCATTACCATAAGATTTATAGGTAGTGAAAAAGATGTCCCAATTTGAGGAAACAATTTCTTCCTTCAAGATAACCTTGAAAATACACTCAGAAATAGGAAACTATGGCCATATGACTTGCTTTGGCCAATGTTATATAAACAAAAGTGACATATATTTACTTCTAGGTGGAAGTTTTCAAAGGCAGTATAATAAGGCTGTTTTCTCTCTAACCTYTACTCTAGTAAATAAAGCAAAGCTCTAGATAGTGGGTACTTTGAAAACTGAGCCCTCCAAAGACAAAAACAAAAAGCACAGATCCCAGACTACATACCATGGCAGACTATTAAGAGCCTGAAATAAACTTGTTGATTTAGCCCAATGAGGTTAGAGAAGTTGGTGCTAAAGCAAAATCTAGCTTGTCCTCACCAATATATATTAAGGAAGGTCAAAGAAGACATGAAAATATATTCTACAAGGTGGGCCACTATATTTGTTCCTGAAAACAAAGACTTAAGATAGATAAAGAAATACACTTAAAACATGCACAAACATTAATTATCACAGAGTTAAAAAAAGAAAACTAGAAAAGAATCCACTAAGAGATTCTAATTTTAGAAATGAGGATACTATGCTCTAAGAAGTTAGTAACTTATATGAGGTAACACAGCTAGTGACAACATCTGGATAAGAACCAGAAGCCATGTCTCGCTAGAAATGATAATTGTAGTGTATTTTTATAATAAATTTATATTTAAATTTTTAAAAATTAATTTTAGAGATGAAAAAATTGAGATTAGAATTCATTAGAAATCTACCATATGATTTAGTTATTTTATTTTGTTAAATATTTATTTTTTAGTTATTTTAGGTGGACTCCGTATCTTTATTTTATTTTTATGTGTGTTGAGGATCAAACCCAGCGCCCCGTGCATGCCAAGRAGCATGCTACCTCTTGAGCCACATCCTAGCCCACTGATTTAGTTGTTTTAAAGGGAATGGAAATCTAATGTGATTTTTGACAAATTTCAAGTGCTTTTTCTCAAAATGGGAGATAATTCTTATTAACTTAAAAAACTAAATAGAGGTAATGAGGAGAAATAAACTAAATAAAAAATGCAGAACTCTGATTCCTAGCATCACAAAATAGCTGGTTTAATGATTATATTAAATTCTTTTATTAAATAAATACTAATTTGGTACCTATAGAGTATRACCTATTTCAGAACAAACTTCTTAAAAGATAAAAAAAATACTGATGTTCAGTGTTGACTCATCTATAAAATGTGAACTAGAAACAGATTGGTTATTCAAAGAGCCAATTTCAAGCAGTACTGGAAACTGTATGGATCACGTACTACACATACTTAAGAGATGATTTCATCAGATTTTCAAAAAGAATTTCAGCTTCTATTAAAGGCAGTAGGACTTTAAAAGGAAATCTAAACCTTGGAAAACTGGATTTTTACCAATCAATTTAAATATTGAGTGTTTTAAGGAATTTTTACATTTGATGGCTGCATTTCAGCTCAAATAATTATAGAATAACTAAATTTAGAAACAAAAATAAACCTCTAATTATGAAGATAAGCTATAAATCTGTTGGTAAGAAGGAAAAAACCTGTAAAATTCTGGCTCCTTCATGATAATAGTCCACTCCAGTATCTGGGACAAAAGCCATACTCTTTATGTAGCAAAAGAAAGGGAAAAATTGGGACCAAAAAAAAAAAAAAAAAAAACAAACCTACTTTTTTCCTTATTTTAGTTTGACTATGAAGACCCAATACAGAAATAATTTCAAGTTAATTAAGCAGTGCAATGATTTAAAAAGTGTTTGATAACCTAGATTATACTTTACTAGCAGATTATTGCAGCTCTCAAACAATGTATACGAGAAGTTTTGCTCCAAAATAAATAGTAGTCCTTTACTATGTGGAATTTTTAAAATAAAGAGGCAATGCATTTTTAACCACACACTCTAGAATAACTGCCGTTGTTTTCCTTGAATATATAAAACATTGAAATAGATTTAAAAATCACAGTGTTTTGGTCTAGAAGAGATAGCTTTATTTTTCTTTTAGCAGATAAAACTGATTTTTCCAGGGTCATAGGTAGTGTTAAAGCAAGGATTAGGAGCCACATCACCTGACTTCTACTGGGCCAGGAATTAGCTGTTAAATACTAGCAGGAGGTTGAAAAGCCCAAACACAATAGGTTATGCTGCTGTAACAACTTTAAAACTGACATTGGATTATAATAAGAAATGTTTATTTTTGAAYATGCAAACACTACTGCAAATATCTTCAATGTAGTGACTAAATGTTCCCGGGTACTATTATTTTGATGATATCTTCAACCCAACGTATATTTCTATAATGACCACAGGAAGAAAGCACAGAGAATCTTGCACAGGCTTTTAAATGCTTCTGCCTGAAAATGAGATATAGTACTTCTGCTCATGTTTCATTAGCCAAAGCAAGTTACACAGCAACACATAACTTCAAAAGGGTGTAGAAATACCACATTTCCACATGTCAAAAAGATAAGGAGAGCTCCCTGGCGCATGCCTGTAATCCCAGCAGCTCGGGTGGCTGAGACAGGAGGATCACAAGTTCAAAGCCAGCCTCAGCAAAAGCGAGGTGTTAAGGAACTTAGGTGCTAAGTGAGACCCTATCTCTAAATAAAATACAAAATAGGGCCGGGGATGTGGTTCAGTGGTTGAGTGCCCGAGTTCAATCCCCAGTACCAAAAAAAAAAAAAAAAAAGGAAGAGAACCAAATCATCAGTGAGTGTTAGTAATATC